AAAGAGTGTCATTAAATCCTGCAATCTTCTGGTTGATGGTTTAATAGAAGCTTGGAGATTATTTCTAATGTTTGTTTTGGCAGTTAAGTGAATGATTCTCATTACTTGTCGACTCATTAAGCAAATCACCAGTACAACGTGGAATAAAATAAATGGCATCAAATGCGATCTCTATTTGTATAAAAGATTAGGTTGCTTTGTAAACCAGTATAGGTCTACATCTCTGTGTGTTCGATGTTTTCTAAAACAATAAATAAATGTAAATTCAGGAAAATAATACCAACTCTGATTAAATGATCAAAAATAAGGAAATGCTTGCCCCATTCACGTCAACTAACCCCCCACACACACACACACACACCACACACTTCCAGAAATTGTTTAGGCTCTTCTGTAAATCCTTAATCCAGTTTCCTGACTTTTGAGTCATCATTGAGCTATTTGAATTAGAGGCAGGTCATCGCTGTTCTTCTGTGGTCCTGGAGTACTGCAGTGCACTCATTCGTTTCTCCCTTCTAGTACTGGGTTGAACTACGGAGGGTAGAGATACTATTAAAGCCTAAGAAAAGGACAGCAGCTGGCTTCTAGACAGCCCCTTCCCAGAATACTTGGGGTTCCGAGTCCCACACCCTCACCACCTTGATCCCTGACTTTGGCACATAGTGGGAGTAACCTGAGCACCCTAGAGAGTCTGAGACCTCCCTTCTTGCCTGACATGTACACAGAAGCAAAGATAAGAAGGAAACCTTGAAAAGAATACAAGCGGACTTCAAAAAGTCATAGAAAAATAAAATTAAAGTAAGAATTTATTTTTGTGGATTTTTTTTGAAGTCCATGCACAGTGTTTTTATATTATTTACCATGAACTTTTTGAAGACCTCTCACATGAGTCTGAGAATGTGAACCTTTTCCGGAAAGACATGAATGAAAAGAAGGAACTAAACTTCTCAGAATATCTGTGTTCATCTTTGACCCGTACCATGCCATCTAGTCCTCCAGAGTGGTGTGGAGCTTACAACAATGGGCGCACAAGGTCAGATCTCAGGAGTGAAGCCCCTGTACCTTTCCAAGACCCCTGAAACATGAGTGGGAATGAAAACTTGGTGACCTCTACAGTGATCAATCAACAGGAGAGAAAGGGGCAGTTTATCTATGTAGTTTTAAAGTGATGCAATTCTATGTGGCCATCAGAAACAATGTTTTGGGGGGCCAGCTGGTGGCGTAGTGGATAAGGTGCTGGACTTCCGATGGCCAACTCCAGTTCAAGTCCTGGTCTGGGCGGCTTGAAACTCATACCAGGTGCATATGTGTGTGCCCAAAATCCTGAGAGAATAGAGGAGGAGGGATTGTGGCATGGCCACACCCCTGTGGGGTGATTTCTCACATTCTTCCCATTTCTCTGGTGAGCAAAAATCTCTCTTAAAAATGTATTTTGAGGAATTTTAAGTAAAAATGAAAGTATTTATCATATATTAACAACAAGAACATGAAATACAGAACTGGGTATACAAAATAAAATAAAATAAAGCTACCAAATAAGTAATCTTTTTTGACAAAAGAGTGAGTTGGAAGTAATTCACTAAAGTTTAGAATGATGTCTCTGGAATGATTAGTGTTTTGAATTTTCTTGATATTTTCACTCAATCTTTTTAACCGTATGTCAGATGAGCACTCTGCCAACATTGTAATAAGGTTTGGGAGGGTCACATCTGCCACACAGCATGAGAATCCAACCATCACACTTTAACATATAGTTTCTCCCTGTTTCGTAGTCTTCCTTCCTCCACCTGTGGGCTCCATGGGACTGCAGGTGTGCACCACTGCTCTCAGCCTTCAGGATGGACCAGGAATCGATCCACCGAGTCCCACACCCTCACCACCTTGATCCCTGACTTTGGTACATAGTGGGAGTCACCTGAGCACCCTAGAGAGTCTGAGACCTCCCTTCTTGCCTGACATGTACACAGAAGCAAAGATAAGAAGGAAACCTTGAAAAGAATACAAGCGGACTTCAAAAAGTCATAGAAAAATAAAATTAAAGTAAGAATTTATTTTTGTGGATTTTTTTTGAAGTCCATGCACAGTGTTTTTATATTATTTACCATGAACTTTTTGAAGACCTCTCACATGAGTCTGAGAACGTGAACCTTTTCTGGAAAGACATGAATGAAAAGAAGGAACTAAACTTCTCAGAATATCTGTGTTCATCTTTGACCCGTACCATGCCATCTAGTCCTCCAGAGTGGTGTGGAGCTTACAACAATGGGCGCACAAGGTCAGATCTCAGGAGTGAAGCCCCTGTACCTTTCCAAGACCCCTGAAACATGAGTGGGAATGAAAACTTGGTGACCTCTACAGTGATCAATCAACAGGAGAGAAAGGGGCAGTTTATCTATGTAGTTTTAAAGTGATGCAATTCTATGTGGCCATCAGAAACAATGTTTTGGGGGGCCAGCTGGTGGCGTAGTGGATAAGGTGCTGGACTTCCGATGGCCAACTCCAGTTCAAGTCCTGGTCTGGGCGGCTTGAAACTCATACCAGGTGCATATGTGTGTGCCCAAAATTGCTTTCTGTTTCTCTGTTTCTCTCTCTCTCTCTGTGTCTGGTGAGTGTACACACCATATAGCAAAAATCCCTCTCTCAAAAAAAGTTTAACTTTTATTTCTTTCTTCAAAGTATGGTAAGAAAATTGGCTCAATCTTTTCAGTAAATCAGAAACATAAAAAAGGGATTGTGTTAGATTGAAAGTTTAAATGATGTCTCTGGAATGATTAGTGTTTTAAATTTTCTTGATATTTTCACTCAATCTTTTTATTGTATGTCAGATGAGCACTCTGCCAACATTGTAATAAGGTTTGGGAGGGTCACATCTGCCACACAGCATGAGAATCCAACCATCACACTTTAACATATAGTTTCTCCCTGTTTCGTAGTCTTCCTTCCTCCACCTGTGGGCTCCATGGGACTGCAGGTGTGCACCACTGCTCTCAGCCTTCAGGATGGACCAGGAATCGATCCAAGCCCTTCCATGTGGTCCCAGGCCGTGGTGCACAGCCTCCTAGCTGTGTGTGCTCTTACAACTGGGTCAGATTTTATATATTTTATACCTTTTAACAAAGACCTTCTAACACTAAAAATTATGTATAATAAATTCAATATTTTATTGTTTGTTATGTTATTAATAAGATTGTATTTATTAATAAGATTGTTTATGTAACAACATAGAATAACTATTCATGAGGTACTTGTTAAAAGGTCTTTGTCTAATATTTTCCAACCTAATTATTTTACTACACTACACATTAAGAGAAAAAAAATAAAGAAATATAAAAAAACCTTAGTAGTAATAGTGGCTACCATGAAGCAGAGGGTCAGCAACCTATGTCCATGACCTGCAAGGCCCATTTTTAAAAAGAAGACTGACTGCAAACAGCTTTGCTTTTTTGCTCACATATGTTATTCAGAGGCTTCCTGCCCGAGTGGCAGAGTTGAGTAGTTGCAATCATGAGCCGCAAAGCCTAAATTACTTACTATTTGTCCCTTTACAGAAAATATTTGCCAGTCACTGCCCTAAAGTGACATGCTGATAGTTGACTTTGCTCCTATTTTGTTTCCCTATTTCTCCATGCTTCCTCAACGACCCATTATTACACACTCATCCCCCCATATTGGCTAATTCGATAAATTAGTTAACAATCTTTGATTCATTCTTTATTTTAAATGGAGGATTCTTTTTTCTAAAAATTGAATGGAGAACATACTGTTGATCTAAATGAATAGCCAAGAAGTGTAACTGAAATATCACATTGGAACCTCTTACAATTGCTTAAATCATGCCTAATGGTGGGAGAAAGGAAATAAAAATAAATAAATGGTGAGGTAACCATGTTAATGGATTGGAAGTCTCAAAATAATTAAGATATTAAATTTCTTCCAATTTGATATTAGGTTCAATGTAATTCAAATCCAAATCCAGTAGGCATTTATGCAGAAATGAATAAGCTGATTCTAAAATGTATTTAGGAAAGCAAAAATTCACAAACCTGGACACTTTTGAAAATAATATAAAACTAAAGTATTAAAGATGGTGCACCATTGGTGAAAGTATAAATACATAGATAAAAAGAAAGAAAAAGAATCTAGAATTAATTCCAGATGTAAAATTCAGATGAACTTTTAACAGAAATGATGAGGAAATCTAAAGGAAAATATTAGAATTTTCAACAATAGGTATTGAAAGAAATGTTCATCAGTGTGAAAAAATATGCCCTAATCCATATCAAATATCATATAGAACAAGAAGTAACTTGAAACGGGTCAAATTTCTACATGTAAACTTTTACTATGTTTTATATGTAGATAGTTCTTATGTTTTCTTGTAAATTAGATAAGAGATTTTATTATATATTTTGCATTTTATTTTTAAAATCCTTCATGTATCTGAAGCTGTAACAATTCTTAAGATTTCTGATAATTCTCCTTATGGTTCTGGAAACAGAAAATAGAAGACACAGTCTCAGCAAGAAGATGGATAGGGCTCACACACACCTACAACAGGTTCAGAGGGTAACTGGCAGACTTAAGTAATAATACCTTGGGATTTTCAGTTAAAAAAAAAATTTTTCTGAGTGGCCTGTAGATGTGTTAGTGATTATGTTGCTGGATTCCCACATGGCTGACCATGATTTGAGTCCTGGACATGGTGGCTTGAGCATCATGCCAGGTGTGTGTGCGTACATGCCCAAGATCCTGGGAGGAGAATAGAGGAGAAGGGATTGCCATGTGGCCATTCTCTCTGGTACATGATTTCTCACTTTCTCACTGTGTCAGTCCCTCTCTATCTTCCCAGCAAACGCATGTGCCATATCAAACACCCCCCAGCCCCCTAAAAAAAAAAAACTCCTTTCCAAGTAAACAAATGTTTCATTTGGTCCTCTCATTCTCTTCAACTGGACTGGAAGCTGGGAGCAGTCATGAAAGGACAGTAGACCACTGTGACCACATTCAGTCCTTCCTCTTCAGGGAAGAGGCCATATTTGCTCACAGGACTTAGGCAAGGACAGGGTGTAGTTGACGAGAACATGGGGGTCCTCAGACCTGCCCTTCTGGTCCTGCAGGTGGACACTTCTGCTCTCAGAGGAGCACGCAGCTGATCTAGGCTATTTCTCTTTCCCCTAATCTAAGACTAGGGTATAAGACAAGGTGACAGCCCTCAAGAGGCTTTTTTTTTTTTTCAAGACACCAGAGAGTGGATTATTTTTTCAAGTTCTAGTTTAAATAAAGAATCTCTAATTCCATGGGAGATGGAACCATACAAACAGCTTCTGTTATTCAAGAAAAAGTACTAAGTCATCACGCAATGTGTTTTTTCATCGGGCACTGCCTTGGTAATGAACTTTGTTTCCCAGTGGCTTTATTGAAAATGGAGGTTTTTGTAAACATTTCTCAGGATTACTGGTGTTGGTATATTTGCATTTTCAGTTACTGAAGAACTTCCTGCTTTCGCAAATACATTCCCAAATTGCTAAGTAAAAAGCCACATACGTTGAGAGAATAGAAGGCTTTTCCCTTAATGCAATTTTAGAACAGATTCAACACCATTGAACACCCTGAAATATAAAAGCATCTCTAGTCACTGAATACTTTTTCAGGTAATGTAGACAACTACCTGGTTGACCAGTTGATCCTGCTCTTCTTTTTCTGCTTTGAGCCTTTTCATTTTCTCTTGGCACTTTTGAGTCATTGCTACACCAGTGGAAATTGGGTATTTGGGTCAATTTATGTGAAGATAATTTACAAAAGGACAGATGACATGAAATCTGTAATCCAAAAGAAGAAGATCGGATTGTCAGCACAGTTTGGAAACTAAAAGTCACAGTATAAAGCTTAAGAGAAGACAGATTTGAAGAAGCTGTGATCAGCGAGACAGAGGAAGCAGGATCAAGATATTCACCAAAGGACTAAGCTCATAGTAACGCCCCTGGTAAGTAAATTCTTTCTCTTCTTACCCTAGTAATGAAAACCACAATATATTTTTTTAGAAAAAAAAATTGCAAGTGAAGTTTAAGTGACTGCCAGATTCTTGGCTTCTATATATGAACAATTTCAT